CGGGCTGCGGCAGCGGCAGCCCGGGCTCCCCGGCGGCGGTTCCGGCACCCGCTCCCCGCTGACCCCTCCTCCCTTTCTTCCTCCATCCTCTCCTCCCTTCCTCCCTTGCGGCTCCTGTTTGGTGAATGAATTAGGAGGCGGGCGAGGGTGCGGGGCTCAGGCCGCCCGCCGGGGTCTTCGCACCTGCGGGGACGCCGAGGTCCCCGGCGCCCCGGTTCCTGCGGGTTAGCCCGGCCTGCGCTGCACGTGTCCGCCCAACTTGGCTCCTTCTCCTTCTCGCGCTTAGAGCCCAGACCGGAGGGCGCCGGGCGCTGCGGAAGGAGCCCCCGCCGCGCGCGCGAGTTTCCATCCCGCGGCGTGTGTGTCCCGCAGCAGGGCGCACCTGTCAGCGGGAGAGACGCTGCGGAGCGGGCAGCCCCTCAAAGTTTCGGGGTTGAACGGGGAAGCCTGCGCCCTTGGCTGGAGGGCGCCTCCGTTGGTCTTCCCCGCGGCCGGTCTTGGGGGGCGCCCTCAGCCTCTTGCCCTTGAACGTGCTGGGCGGCGGGCTCGGGCTGCCGTGGGCCCCTTCCGAGCGAAGGCTGTGACCATGGGGGGCAGGGAGCAGTTTAGGAGCACCTCGCTCCGTCCCCCTCTTCCGCAGGCTTTGGGTGGTTGGGCTGGGCACCTCAGCCAAAGCTCTCAGCAGCGCCTGATTACACGTGGGGTACTGGGCTGCGAGACCTTCTCGGGGTCCTCTGTGGAGGGGAGGGTTACCATGCCTCTGATTCCTGCGGAAGAGAGGGATCCCCCGGGGAAGGAGGGAACTGGCGATACCAGGGATGCCGCCTTTGTCTGCAGGCATACTTTTGCCAAGGTGACTGGGGCCCGGGGAAGATGCACGCACCCCGGTCCCACTGTGAATCCAGGGGTTTTCTGTTCCTTCCCGGCTGGGTCGTGGGAAACCGGCACGTGGGTGTGGCGCGCGCGCCACCTTCGCCAGGAGGTGAGGCTCAGCGGGGCAGGAAGCGTGGCGAGTGCCTCTGGCCGCAGTGACCCGGTGGGCGCAGTCTCCGGCACTGCACCTTGGTGGGGGAGCCGAGGCCCAGCAGGTTGGTGGCGGATGCGCTAGCCCCGCGCACCTCCTGTCCCTTCCCAGGGCGAGCGCAGGCGGGCAGTGGAGCCAGCCGCGCCCCTCGGGCTTGTGAGCTCTAGAGGGGGACCGGACGCCCCTCGGCTGTGCATGCAGGCCCTGGGCCGCAGGCGCGGTGGCGGGGGTGGCGGAGTAGGGCTGGGAGTCTTGCGGAGGAAGCGCGCCGCCGGATCCCAGAGCTGGTGGGGCAGAGAGCCCGGAGGCCGTGCTTCCCGGAGAGGCGAGGCTGCCAGCAGCCCTTTCCGATCCCAGCTGCCTGAACGCTGCTGGTGCCTGACTGGTGCCTAAATCGGGCCGATTTAGGCAGTGACTGCGTGTTTCTTATCCCTCCTGTGTAAGAGGTGTCCCCTGGCGGCAAACTGTGTCTGTAGGGGTCAGAGGCTGGGATTCAGTGAGACCTAGAGTTGGCACGAGCTTGGAAGGAGAGGTTTATCATGCGGAGTCCCAGGGTGGAAACGGGATTCTCCAGATGGGGCCGGTGGGAAGAAGCCATCCTCCGAAAGCTTAGGCTGGAATGGAAGGCAGGAAGGAGTCTTTGTCAACTCTATCCATTCTCTTCCTCACACCGCTGTGACCATCTAGGCTGTGGAGGAAATCATCTCCGGGACTGACATTCCCACTTTCAGGGAGATGAGATGGACCTGAGATCTGTGAAGGAAGAAGCCATGGAGCCCCCTTTGTAGTGATGGGGGACCAGGTTTTAGAAAACTCAGGCAAGGTCAGGCAGCCAGGAGGGAGTAGAGCTTGTCTCACGCCAAGTCTCTGGTGCCAAGCCTGGGCTTTTCTCATTAAAGCACAGCTGTTTCCAACAGGGCAGACTGTAGGAGCCCCAAGTTAACTGCAGACGGAAACTTGGCACCGTTTCCAGGGGTGGCTGGGCCCACGGATGAGCAGAGATCCAGCGGCACTAGGACCGGGCGGACGGGGCTCCCCAGGCAGCCACCTCTGTGAGGCTGCTGCAGTGGTGGCTGCAGTTCCCTCTGGCGCTCCTCGGTGCTGGGCTTCTAGCAGGGCTGTCCACACCCCACCCTCATTTCCTCCTCATTCCCTTGTCTGCTTTCCCTTTCTTTCCTGTCTTGGACTAAATGAAAACAAGGTGAGAGAGGCGAACACAAGGAAGTTTCTCTTACTGGTTTTGCTGTGAGCAAGGGAAGCTGTGTGCATCTTTGTTCCCCTGGCACCTCTTTTTATGTTTCCTGTGGTTTCTGGTCTTTTCCTCCCCGGCTTTCTTCCAGGACCCAATGCTGTCCTTCACCAGTGAATAGTCCCCTCCTAGTGTCCAGTCACTTACCCACTAGGGGCTGTGGCTCTTAGGCCGCTGGTCACCCACCGTCCTACCTTCTCCCACACCCTGGGAGCCCCATCATCCCTGTATGTACTCGGGGATGCCCCTGGCTACAGGCTCACCCCACCGAAGCTTACCTATTAAGAGCTTTGCTCAGGCAGATCCTAGTCTGCCATCTACCAGGGCTGTCACCTAACTCTAGTCTTTGTTTTCTCTAACAATAATAAATGCTACCTTGCATGTGCCCCATTTGCCCCTGGAAGATGCTAGGAGATTAGCCACAATTTACATTTTACAGGTGAAATAACTGAGGGCCTACACAGCAGCAGAGCGAGGACTTGTACCCCAGTACTCTGGCTTCTGAGTCTCCAGACGGTTTTAGCTATGCTCAAGAAGTGGTCATAGCTTTTATTACTGCATCCCTTCTGCTGTACTGGGCCGGACTCCGAGAATACTACCTCCTGCCTGACCCCACGTTTCCCACTTTCTCCCGCCAGATGCCGGTGCAGCTGACGACAGCTCTGCGTGTAGTGGGCACCAGCCTGTTTGCCCTGGCAGTGCTGGGTGGTATCCTGACAGCCTACGTGACAGGTTACCAGTTCATCTACACGGAAAAGCACCACCTGTCCTTCGGCCTGTATGGTGCCATCCTGGGCCTACACCTGCTCATCCAGAGCCTGTTCGCCTTCCTGGAGCACAGGCGCATGCGCCGGGCCGGGCAGCTGAAGCTGCCCACCTCCAGGCCCCCAACTGTGGCGCTCTGCATCGCCGCCTACCAGGAGGACCCTGAGTACTTGCGCAAGTGCCTGCGCTCGGTCCAGCGCATCGCCTTCCCTGACCTCAAGGTGGTCATGGTGGTGGATGGTAATCGCCAGGACGACGCCTACATGCTGGACATCTTCCATGAGGTGCTAGGCGGCACTGATCAAGCCGGCTTTTTTGTGTGGCGCAGCAACTACCACGAAGCGGGTGAGGGCGAGACGGAGGCCAGTCTGCAGGAGGGCATGCAGCGTGTGCAGGCGGTGGTGCAGAGCAACACCTTCTCGTGTATCATGCAGAAGTGGGGAGGCAAGCGCGAGGTCATGTACACTGCCTTCAAGGCCCTCGGCAGCTCAGTGGACTACGTTCAGGTAAGGGCGCCTCCCCCGAAGTGTGTGTATGTGGGGACTATCTGGCCGGGGGCAGACTTCTCCAGGGACTTCGGGGTGGGTTTGGTGTGCGTTGTGCACATCCCTCCTCTGCGCTGAAGCAGGCAAGAAGGCATGATGGCTCTGAAAGCAGTCCTGCTGTCAGAGCTGGCTTGGAATCGCGCTTGTGCGGCATGTAGTTCTGTGCTTTTGGGAAGAGCTCTGAATTTGCTGTCCCTGTAATAACAGCAGCAAAGTGGTGCACAGCATTTGCTTCACATTAGGCACTGTCTCGGGCACTTCTAATATATCGATTACTCCTAATTGTCCTAATGCTCCGGGGATAAGTGCTATTATTAACTTTCCTCATAGAAGGTGAAACCGAAGCACAGAGTAAGTTGCCTACTGTCACACTGCTAGTCAGGCGCAGAAGCAGGTAGGCGTGAGCCAGGCAGCCCATCTCTGCTCTGTGCAGTGCTGCTCACCTTTGGGACATGAGGTTATGCCTGTTCCTAACAAAATGTGAAGAGCAAAAGAAGCCTCATTCAAAAACACTCACCTGTACGTTCTGGGCCCCAGAGTCACACTCTTCTAGTGCCCAGCTCACGTCTGAGGAAGGGCTGACAGACACAGGGTCTTTGGTGGGGGGTCTGGAACCCTAGGCAGAACCTACTCATCTGGTCTAAGTGGTCATTGACTCCAAGCTGGAAATTTTATTGGGTTGCCAGAGCTTCCATTTTCAAATAATAGAACCTAGAGAGAACTGAGATTAAAACTCACACATTTAGTACCACACAGACATGGAAAACCCAGGGTCCCAGATTCTGGTCCAGAATTCTTTGTGGCACCCAAATTGCGCCTGTTTTGTCTCTGCCCTTCTCTGCGCTTGTCTGAGGAGTTTGCCCATAGTTCATAAATGTTTGAAAGAAGGGTGGCTATTTTGGTAGCCTACCTGTGTGCCACTTCCGTCTTGCTGACACCATGGTGAGCCCTGTTTAAATTGTCTGTAGTGTGCCTACCTAAAATTAGCTTGTACACTTCAGCTTCTTTGAAGGTGTGTCCCATGTGAGAGTTGATACCTTTTTCTCTTCGGTCTTCCTAGGCCCAAGGACCTCCTTAGCCATGTAGGGAGGGATTTGAGCCTAGAAGGCGGTTTGAGTCTGCAGTTCACCTGGGGTTGTGGACACTTTAGAAAACCTTCCCAGGGTCCCAGAAGCTTAGCAAAAAGCCTTGAGCCCTGACTTGTGTGCTCAAGCGACCATGACTATGTCATCCACTCCCTTTAAGCTTAGGACCCCCAAACCTGCTCTGCCACTTAACACTTCTCCCCAGTCATCTCCTGTGTATTCCAGTGGATCTGCAAACACCCCACTGCCGCCGCACAAGCATACCCCCAGCCATGCCTTTGTCTTTATGGCCCTGGGACCACTGCCCAAGGCAACCCTGGGTTACAGTGAATGCTTGCTGGATTTCAGCTGGTGTCCCACAGGCTGCTGAGGGCGTGCGTCTTTGCCTCTGAGGAAGAGAACCCAGCCAGCACAGAGCTCTTTTTTACCTCACCCTGCTCAGCTAGAAAGACCTCCGTGGAGCGGAGGAGGCAGAGCAGCCTGGAGAATGGGTTGGGGTCCAGGCAGGAAGTAGAAGCGAGACCAGCAACCAGGTGCTTAGCATGTAAGCTGAGGAGATTGAGTCTGGCCAGAGGTCCCTGGGACCGTCCTGGACAGCTTGTAAGGGTGTGTCCGGGGAGGCTGAAAAAGCCCATTCGAGGGACCCGGCCTGGTGCCTGATTCCCCCTTGGCCTTCAACTGTTGCTTGCCTGTGGCCACCCTGTTCTCTAACACGGAGAGGGAAAACTGGGAAGACTGGGGTGTCAGAAGCAGCCTCCATCCTGACCTTACTCAGCAACTTTTTTATTTTGGTGCTGGGGGTTAAACCCAAGACCTTGCGTCAACAATTTGTAGTAAAAGGATTTGGGCTCTTCATCAGACACTCTGCTTTGAGAACAGCAACCAGAGAGCTCAACCTGGGGTCCGCAGGCCAGTTCCCCTGCCCGCAGTTACCGGGACTCTACTTTTCAGTTACTTTTCTTCAGAAAACAGACAAGGAGTCAGTCACAAGGGAAATACTTTCAGAGCGCAGGCTCACTAACCACAGGACCACCTGAGACCGGAAGCCTCCTGAGGGGAGGAGGGCCTGTGGGCAGGATTTGGTCGAGGGTCTGACTGGAGGCAGCTGTTGCTAGCGTCCTCGGCCATTCAGGGTAGACCGAGGCAGGCGCAGCCATCAGCCAGACTGTGCCCCAGTCTTAAAAGATTTGGCCAGGGGAGTCTGCTGCAGCAGAGTATGTGGAGGGGGGCACGTTTGTGGGCTCATGGAGGGAGAGGGCTCCTCACCACAGGGGCTGCAGGTTGTCCAGGAGGCCAAAGACTGGAACTGGGGGGACTGTTAACAACTACTCTATGGGGTTGCTGGGCATAGCAGCCCTGGAGCGGAGCCGTTTCTGAGCTTTCTGAGGAATGTCTGTCTGCTGGTCCTACTGTTCTAGTCCACTGTGCCTGCTGTCTGACTTCAGTGACTTGCTCTCCCTTTCTGCCCAAGATTTGTATTTTGAGCCATTTCTGTGGAGCCTAGCTTTACAGGGGCAAAACCTTGTCCGGTGCTAAGCATTTGTCTTTTGCCAGGCCTGGTGCCTATGCTCTCCTGGGTTTTCTCCTCAGCTTACTGGTGTCAAGCCTGGGATGTGGACTCTCCTTTTCCTTACTTGCCTTTGTTTTTCCTCCTCCCTTTCTGGCTAACACCGCTCTAGTGGAAGAGAATCATGGAGGGTCACTTCCCTCAGGGGGTGAACAGCCGGTGGAGGGGAGAGGGAACCTACTGACCTGAGGTCAGAACAGGCTCATGGTGCACTCCCCTGCAGGTGTGCGACTCTGACACTGTGCTGGACCCAGCCTGCACCATCGAGATGCTTCGAGTCTTGGAAGAGGATCCCCAAGTAGGGGGAGTCGGGGGAGATGTTCAAGTAAGAAGTAACCAGGGATCCCTGGGGTAGAGGTGTGGACTCTGGTTTTGGTTTTTTTTTTTTTGCACTCTGTTTGTTAACCCGATAGGCTATGCCTGCTATTTGGGGGGTCCCCTCTGACAGTTTTCACTGATACCAGAGGGCTCACCTCACTTGCAGTGCAATTCATTACCTGCTCTTTTTTTTAATGTGAGAGAAAAAAAAAAATCACTGAATAGTTACAGACAGCCTATGTAGGGAGGGCTATAGGTTTGGAGGTCACAGACCCTAAAGGGTACTTCCTTTTCAGGTGTGTAGTAGGTCACTCCCAAGTTAGGCCCTTGAAGTCCTTGCTTCTAGAGAACTTGGACGGAAGAGCTCGGGGCAGTATGATGAGCATAAAGGGCTGGATCATCTTGCAGAGAACGCTGTAGACAATATATCACATCTTCCTAGAAGCTTTACAACTGTAGAAGCAGCGGGATGGATGGCTAGGGTGAAGTTTTGCTTCCTTCCCTGGGCCTTATCTCTGCCACCACCACTGCCTCCTGAGATTGAAGGCAGCTCTGACCATTAGATCAGCTTAGTTGGGAAAGTGAGTACAGATGACACAGTGGGGAGGTAGAGCTGGTTCTGGGGAGAGTGAGCGGGTAGTCAGCTCCTTTTAGCCTGAGATCCCTCAGTTCTGGTGGAGCTAGTGCTAGTGCCTGGAATTTGAGCAATGGGCCACAGAACCCAGGGTAGGGAGGCCTCCTGGTCTGCGGTATCTGTCCTCTTTGGGGCGCATGTCCTCAGAGGAGGAGGCCCAGCATCTCTGTTCCTTTGCAGATTCTCAACAAATATGACTCGTGGATCTCCTTCCTGAGCAGTGTGCGGTACTGGATGGCCTTCAACGTGGAACGGGCCTGCCAATCCTACTTTGGCTGTGTGCAGTGTATCAGTGGGCCCTTGGGCATGTACCGCAACAGCCTCCTCCAGCAGTTCCTGGAGGACTGGTACCATCAGAAGTTCCTAGGCAGCAAGTGTAGCTTTGGAGATGACCGGCACCTTACCAACCGAGTGCTGAGCCTTGGCTACCAGACTAAGTATACAGCACGCTCCAAGTGCCTCACAGAGACCCCCACCAAGTACCTCCGGTGGCTCAACCAGCAAACGCGCTGGAGCAAGTCTTACTTCCGGGAGTGGCTCTACAACTCTCTGTGGTTCCATAAGCACCACCTCTGGATGACCTACGAATCAGTGGTCACAGGTTTCTTCCCGTTCTTCCTCATCGCCACGGTCATACAACTTTTCTACCGGGGCCGCATTTGGAACATTCTCCTCTTCCTGCTGACAGTGCAGCTGGTGGGCATTATCAAGGCTACCTACGCCTGCTTCCTTCGAGGCAATGCAGAGATGATCTTCATGTCCATCTATTCCCTTCTGTACATGTCCAGCCTCCTGCCAGCGAAGATCTTTGCCATTGCCACCATCAACAAGGCTGGCTGGGGGACTTCAGGCCGGAAAACCATCGTGGTCAACTTCATTGGCCTCATCCCGGTATCCATCTGGATGACAGTTCTTCTTGGGGGCCTGGCGTACACAGCATACTGGCAGGGCCTGTTCAGTGAGACTGAGCAAACCTTCCTTATTTCCGGGGCTGCCCTCTATGGCTGCTATTGGGTGGCCCTCTTCCTGCTGTATTTGGCCATCATTGCTCGGCGGTGTGGGAAGAAGCAAGAGCAGTACAGCTTGGCTTTCACTGAGGTGTGACACAGCCCCCAAGCAGAGTGGGAAAAGTGCAATGGGGAAGACAGGGGATGGGGAATGAAAGAGAAAGATTGGGTTGGGGGGAGGAGGGAGTGCTGTGTTTTAGTTTAATGGTCCAAAGGGACAAATCAGAAATGCAAAGAATCGTGACTGTAGTATGGCCTGTGCTGGGCAGTTCTGCTCAGAGGAGGTGACACTGATTCTTCAGGCTCAGGGCAGAGGGCGTTTGTGTTTTCAGGCTGCTTATTTGCTTGGCCTCTGCAAAGGATTCTACCTCCTTCCCTGGGGTCCCAAGAGAACTCAGAAAGGTGCCAACCAAGCGCTATTTGCATTTTCTGGCAGTTTCTGATAAGCAAGCAATGACATCTGTGGGAAGGGGTTCTCCTCGCCCATGTGAACATAAGCAGAGCTGGTAGAATTTCCACTGAGATCTGAGCCAAGAACGTCCCCCCCCCTCCAACAGATCATCAATGCAGTTAAGATTGTGCCTGAGATACGAGGCCCAGAGGCCTGATCTTTGGGTATCAGAAAACAGGGTCCAAGAATGGTGCTTTATGTGATCTACCCTACTTCACATCTCCATGTCCCAGGGGTAAGCCAGACTAGTAGGAGATATCATTAAACTGCTTTTGTACTTTTTATTTTTACTTTTTTTGTAGTAGTGGGGATTAAACCCAGGGCCTTCACAGTGAGCTACATCTGCCCCACCCCCACCCCATTTTTAAAAACCTTGAAACAGGGTCTCTCTAAGTCACTGAGCCTGGGCTTGAACTTGTGATCCTCCTGCCTTGGTCTCCCAGAATGCAGGGACTACAGGAGTGTGGCACTGTGCCCAGCAAACACCGAACTGCTTTTAAAAGTGCATATTAAAATGGAAGGTCTGTCGGGAAGAACAGACCGTGGTGGTGCTAAAGACAGGGGAGCTTCGGAATGAATGTGTTGCACCTGAAGATGCTCAGACTTCTAGATGAATTCTAATCTTGTCTGTGCTGATGGCTGCTGGACAGGTAGTGTTTTAGCCAACTACTGGGAAGATCAAACCCTAACATGTGAAGCAAAGTCTGCGGTGTTTTAACCTGGACACTACTAGAATCCTCTCAAATTCAGCTCTGAACTGAGACTAGACATCGTATCTTCCTGACTTCACTTTCTTTCAAGACACATTTCTGGGGTGATAAAATGGCAGTCACCTCTATCATCACCCTGGCTAAGATTCTTAAGGTGGCAACTGGGAAAGAGCTTAGGCTCTTATAAGACACTGCAATAGGCAAACCTGCTCTCTGCACATATACAAAGAATGGTGGGAGCCTCTTTTCATGTTGGCTGCCATCTTGGAACTGAACAGAATCTTCAGCATTTGGTTAACGTGTGACCCGCAGGCTACTGTTCTTGACAATCATCCCCAGCTGAAAGCCTTTCGGTGTTGCCCAAGTGAACCCTCACATGGAAGCTGGCCATCTGTGAGACTACCCATTCTCTTCAGTGGATTCCCTAGGGAATTTTTTTCTGTGGTCCTGGGGATTGAAACAAGGGGTGCTCTGCCCCTGAGCTCCCCAGTCCTTTTTATTTTTGAGCCTTGTTTAGTGTTCCAGGCTGGCATCAAACTTATAATCCTGCTGCTTCTGACTCGCAAGTAGCTGGGATTACAGGTGTGTGCCATCATGGCCAGCTTCTCTAGGGAACTCGTAAAGCCAGGCTGTGGATGGTCACTGCTGCATGTGCTTGTTTCCGTCCAGCAACTAAACTAGGAGATGTGATTTGTTCCTACCCTCAAAGGTTCTTGCTCATACCCCTTGGGGCTATTTAAATTTCCCTCTACTGCTTTGTGAGTGGGGCAAAGCAATTTTCTAGAGATTGGCAATCTAGACTGCTCAGCTTTTGGGTTTGAGACCTGAAATCCTGCTAAGCCCTTGACTTAGGGGTTGCTCACTTTCCAAATGTCCTTTCTCAGAGGGACCAACTAGCCCCTCACAATCAGCGCTGAGCTGGAGAGTAGTTGAGGGGGAAAACCTCTAGTGTGCAAACCTCTAGTGTACCCCGGTGCTTCTGACAGAGGAACCATGTGGTTTCTGAACCACAAATGGCCAAACCCTGATGTTCTTCTCCCTCTCCCATGAACTCAAGGGTTTTCCAGGGATAGCCAACAGCCGCCACATCTGAGCTTCTACTAAAACTTCTAGTTGATCATCAGGCCCAACATATGATGTTCAGGACCCAGCAGGCATTTGCTAAAGGCAGTTGTTCCCGGTTCTGTGCTTGTGCTGGCCAAGAAATAAAGTATTTCGAGCCCTGCAGTGGAGGAAGTCCAGTCAGCCAGCTGTAGAGGTTAGACGTCACCACCATGGGCTTGTTTCTCTTCAGCGCTGACTTGAAGGACGATGGACTCGGAATGAGAAACTCCTGGCTCTCCTACCATCAGCTCTGCCTTATACCGTGGTATCAACTTTCCTCAGATAAAAAAAAGGCAGGCACTGATGGTGAGAGCACAATGTTTGACCTCGTCTGGGTTTTCTAAGTTATTTTGTATACTTCAGCAGCAAAACCAAACTGGGTCTTCAGCTTTATCCCTGTTTCTTGTAAGGGAAGAGCCTTTATACAGTTGGACACATTTTGGTTTTTCTTCATTGAGAATTTTAACCCTCTTATATTTCTACAGTAATTTGTAAACATATTTATTTTTACCTGACTTTTTAATAAGGAGGGAAGTTTAACATTAAGGTTGGGGAGGGAAGCACAGGGGAGGCAGTTTCCCCTGCTGATGGTGCTCGTGTTCACTCTTCCCACTCCCACTGCGCAGTGTGTGTGGAGTCTTCTGGGCCTTCTGCTCGTCCAGGAGCAAACAGAACCTGTTCGAACAGGAACAGAACCGTGTTCGGGGTGAGAGGCAACATCATGAGAGCTCATCCGCTTCTGCAGCGCCTCCCTCACCTGCTGCTCCGTCTTCACCTTACCTGAGCCCTTCCTGGGAAGCGGGGGGGGGTCAGCTGCAGGAAAGCCACCTTGGGTATGAATTTCTGGTCTGTCCGGTCCATGTACTCAGTCTGAACATGGGCCTGAAGTGGTCCTTCTCCTTGAAGGGGTGAAGCCATGGTACTTATCCCACCTGCTGTGCTTGTCCTCGATAGCCATCATGTGCTTGATGCAGTACATAGCTGAGGGCAGGGACTTGTTGGGGACCTTCACCGGGACCCCTTTGGCAATGTGGCCACTAGCAGCCCTTTGTTCTGACACAGGAGCAGGGCTGTGGAGGAGGTAAAAAGCCCTGCTGCTCCTTCTCATTCAGGTTGGCCATGCTCTAGCCGACGTTCTCTTCCCTGTCCACTTTGGAGTGGCCGCTGGCCAAGCACTCCTTGTCCTGTTCAGAGCCCATGAGCTGCTCCCACTCTTCCCTGATTGCCGGCTTGCTTGCAGCTGGGGATGTCCCCAAGGTGTGGCAAAACAGCCGGTTGAACACAGTCACCTCTCTTTCTCCTCAGGATCTTCCTCCTCCCAGTTCTGCTGGCGAGCTTCCAGCATCTTCACAATCTCCACCTTCTCGCTGCTGTCTCACGCTGGCACCCATTCTCCAGCTGTTTCTGTAGCTCTAGCTTCACCTCGTCCCTATCACTTACAAGTATGTCCATGTTCTCCATGCAAGTATGCTCCTACAGCAGGGACTATGCCATGAGCGCCTCGCCTCATCCTCCAGGGCTGCCTCCCTTACTTGGGGCCTTCAGTTCCCACCCCAATCCTGCCGTCTGGAACCAAAGTCCCCATCCTGAATTGGCCCCCAGGACGCAGCAAATCATTTGCACACATGACCACCTCCCTCTTGCAGATTGTCTTCATCCTCCACGGTCTTTCTGAGGTGACCATTTCTGCTGGGCGGCATGCAGGGGTGAGCTGAGACCCTGTGGGGCTCAGAGACAGCCTGCCCCTGCTGAGTGGCCCAGATCTCTTTCCGCTCAAGTTCCCACAGGCCACTGGCCATGCTGCCCTGGTTCAAACAGGAGGAGTACAGCTGCTCCCTCTCTAGTTCTCACTTTACTTGCCCAGGACAGAATGAAGTGTTTGCTATTAAGCCAAGTCCTTAATGCTCTTATTCTCTGCATAGGGCAGACAGTTAGGCTACTTCCACAGCTCCATGTTCTCTGCCCACTCATCCACCAGGTTTGTGTTCACCAGCACATCCTCCTGCAGCACACGTATGTCCCTGAAGGTGAGGACTAGTCTCCCTGCTCAGAAGAAATTGATGGCATGCTCCCCTGCGAGGCCCTGCAGCTCCTCCGCGCTGTTCAGGTCCTGCTACCTCTGCCGAAACTCATCAGCTTGCTGATGCCAAACTCTTGGTCCATGGCCTCTGAGAACTTGGCCTTCTTTTCTGTCAAGAAGTCTTGCTGCAGTGCTGGCTCCTCTCAATCCAGGATACAGCGCTGGCAGCCTTGGGGTCAACTTTCCGTGTTTTTATCTTCCCCAACCTTTGGCTCAGCAGCGCTTTCCCTTGGCAGCCACCAGTTTCTCTCGCTGCTCCTCTCACTGTTGCAAGGCCAGAGTTTATAACATCAGCTGCCACAGGCTCCTCCCTGGTGCCTGCCGTTTCCTCCATGGCCCTGACCTCCAAGGCTTGCAGCCCCAACTCTGCCGGGAGTTTATTGACTTCCGAGATGCTGAATGACGAGCATCTCCTGAGCTACTTTTGGAGCTGAACTGTCTTTCACTCTTTCCACTCCACACCCTGCCTAGAGGGCTCAGGCTGACTGCCGTCCTGCCTGGGCTGCCTAGGCTTCTGTCCTGCGCCACCTACTCTTGTACAAGTCTTCATGGTCCCAGGTCTGCTTCTAGCCTTCACTGCTGCCACTCCGGTGCTTCTTTTTTTTCCTCCTGGGCTGCCTCTCTGCGGTGCTTTTATAACGACTCCACGGTGCTACCTCTTCCCAGAGCCGGTACCTCTCCCCTTACTACTTCCAGGATACATGGCAGCCGCTGTCCTATTGCCAGAAACCAAGCGTGGCTACTTCTGACAGGAGTCTTTTTTAACTTTTCAGGTCAAAATTTTTATACTGCACTTATTTGTCAAAATAAAGATTCTCACATAATGCTGGTGTGTTAGCTTTCTGTTGCTATGGCAAAATACCTGACATAAATCCATTTCAAGAAAGGTCTGGCTCGAGGATCCAGGTAACTCCGGTTACCTGGATCCATTGTTTCCGGGCATGTGGTGAGACACATCTAGGCCAGCAGCATATGGTGGAAAAAAGCTGCTCATTTCATGAAGGTTAGGAAGCAAAGAGAAAAGGACAAGGAACAAAGTATACCCTTCAAAGGCCTATGTCCTCCAACCAGGCCCCATATCTTAAAAGTTCTCAGTACCTCCCAACAGCCTATTAAAGTACACATTCATTAAAGGGTTAATCCATTAAAAGGGGGCACGGGTTGATGATCCAACCACCGCCCAGGTCTGAACACCGGTGCACTGAGGACCACAACTTCAACATATAAGCTTTAAGAGGACATTTTAGATCCAAGCTGGTAACTCTGAGCTACTCCTCCTTTGTACTTAATAAAAATGGCTCTTTACACCAATCTTAAGAAGGGCTGGAGATAGAAATGGTTTCATCAGTGTGCCTCAAAAATAGGCTAAACTAGCCAGGCGTGGTGGTGCACCCCTGTAATCACAGCACTTGGGAGGCTGAGGCAGGAGGACTGCTACAAATTCGAGGTCAGCCTGGGCTACAAAGTGAGTCCAATACTAGCCTGAACTGCATGGTAAAACCCTATCCAAAAAAAAAAAAAAAAAAAAAAAAAAAAAAAAAAAGGCTAAGCTATCCCAGCTACCTGGACCTAAGGAATACAGCAGGTAACTCAGTGGCATAACTCATTGTACAGGTGGGGCAGGGTCTGGTGAAATAACTGGCTGAGTGAGCAAGCTAAGGCTGAAAACTAAAGCCTGCTTCTTCAGTGCAAGCCTTTTAGCTGGCACGTCATGCAGAGTTGTGGCCAAAGTGAGACATTGAAAAGCAGAGGGTAAACGTCCCTTCCTGTGGAACAGGGAACAATAGGAGTGACAACAGCAGCCCTCTCATCCCATTTATTAAAGAAATAGTAAGAAAAGATACAATGCAGGAAAAACACCAACCATCCTTCACATCAGGCTGAACGAAGCACAGTGATTTCTCCCCTTCTCCCCCCACCCCCACCCTAGTTCCCATCCACATCAGTTTGAAGTTTGAGGTTCTTTGATTGGGAGTACCAGTGGAGAGGGAGTCAGATGAACAGAGGAGCCTTACACACGGCCACCTCAAAGTCCAGGAGAAAGGAGCTGCAGGCCTAGTCAGTCAAGCAGAAATTTATTTGGTGGGTTGGTGAAGTGGTTGTCCACCTCCCCATTCTGTGTTCAAGCCCCCAGGGAAAGGTCTGGCAGTAGGTGACCAGGTCCAAGCGGCCCAGTTCAGAGCTATTGAAGCATGGTCCGTTCGCCAGTGCATCTCTAAAGCAGTGAGCTTGACTCTCCAGTGGGGAGCAGGGGGTTACGCACAAACTAGGCCAGGCCAATGTATCCCTGAGGAAAAGTCCACAAGAACAATTCAAGAAACTAATAAACAAGGGGCAGAAAGCTGTGGGACAAAAGCACAGCAGGCTTCTGGAAGGCCCAAGTTCCTTTCTCTTGAGGCCAGTTATCATTCCCAATTTTTCAGTCTGTGTCCCACAAACAACATTTCACCTTCAGTCAAGAAAAAAGCAGAGGAAAAAGGCCTTTTGAACTTGAGCCTCAGCTATGTGTAGCTCCGTATCTACCTTTTTACCTAGAGACAGTCCTACCTAGAACCACAGTGCCTGGAAAACAAGTGGTCCTGGAGAACAAGTGTTGTTTACGGGGGTAACATTCCATTTGGGTACATTGCAGCCATTGGAGCCCCTGGTCTGGGGAAAGCAGCTGGGTTTGTGCCAGGGAGGCTCCCCACCCTAGGAAATGGGACCACACTCTTGCCTACAGGGCCATTCATCCTTGGAAAAGCAGCTGGATTTAGACCCAGGGTCCCAGTGGGCCTTGCAAAAGGAGCTGAACTGATACCCACTGGGCCTGCTGGAGAAGAGCCCAGATGCCCACCAGCTGACCTGGGGAAAGCAACTTGACCTGGGCCTAAAGGACCAGTACATCTTGGGAAGGCAGCTGGACTTGGACCCTGCAGGCCAGTGGCCCTCGGGAAATTAGCTGGGTTGGGGCCTAGTGGCCCAGAGGCTCGTGGGAAAATTGCTGGACTTGAGCCCTGGAGGCCGGCAGACCTTTGCAAGGTACCTGGGTTTGAAGCCAATGTGCCCGAAGACTGAGAGAAGGCAGCTGGGTTCAGTCCCCCTGAACTCGTCCCCCTGGGAAAGGGATTGGCATTTACACCCATGGGGCCACCTGGCCTTGAGAAATGAGCTGAATTAGGGCCTACGGGGCCAGGAGCCCTTGACATAGAAGATGGATTTGGCCCTGGAAGGCCAATTCCTCGAGAGCTAGGACCTGTGTTTGGCCCTATGGGGCCAGGTACTCTTGCCATGGATGATGGGCTTGAGCCCATGTTTCCAGAAGCCTGTGAAAAAGAAGCAGAATTTGCTCCTAAAAGACCTGCTGCTCTCAGAATTGGGGCAAGATCTAGGCCTTGGGGTCCAGCCATTCTTAAGTTAAGGCCAGATCCTGTGCCCAAGAGGCCACCTGCTCTGGTGTCCAGATTTGGGCTTGGACCCAAGCCTCCTGCTCTTGGGTTGGGCCCAAGACCTGGTCCCACACCACTTGCTCGAGGGTTGGACCCAAGGCCTGGGCCTGGAAACATACCTGACCTAGGGGCAGGGTTTGTACCTAAAAAGCCTGATCTCAGATTGGGATTTGGTCCAGGGCCCAGACCACCTGGCCTAGGATTGGGAGGACCATTCCCAGAAGACAACAAGACACCTGATCTCAGATTAGGTCCAGCTCCGGGTCCGGGTCCCATGGGGGTACCACTTCTGGGGTCAGGACTTGCTCCCAGGAGACCACCAGTCCTTGGATTGGACATAGGGCCTGGGCCTGGGAGACCTCCTAACCTGGGGTTAGACATAGGACCTGGGCCTGGAAGAGCTCCTGTTCTAGGGTTTAGAGCTGGTCCTGGTCCTGGACCCAACAGGCCGCCTGGCCGTGGGAAGGCTGTGCCTGTGCCAGTAGGATTTATCCCTCTTGGAAAAGAAGCCATGCTTGGGTCACGAGGACCAGCAGGGAAAGGTGCTGGATTTGAAGCCAGTGAGCCTGATGAAGATGGAAAAGATGGGTTCCTTGGAAATGGTGCCAGATTTCCACCAACAGAACCAGCTGCCATAAGGAAGGGATCCGAGTTCATGCCCAGTGGGTGGCCTGTGTTCAGAACAGGACCCCCCTGTGGTCCCAGGGAACTGTCAAGCCGTCCTCGAGGTGGCAGTGGTGCACGAGTCCAAGGAGTTGGCCGCTCTCTAGGGAAAATCCGGGGTTCTTTCATACTTTCTTGGGGACGTTGGTGATAATGGGCTTGGGGCGGGTTTTGAAAAGGATCTTGTCTTTGATGAGTGCTGTCACCAGGTACCGGGTGGTGCCAGTCTCGTGGCCAAGCTCATCACAGTCCTGTTCCCTAGGAGTGTGTTTGACAAGAACTGCGAAAGGTTTCTCCAGGTGGATGATTTTCCCATATAGGATATGATGCCCCACGATCAGCACAGGAATTCCCTTTGGCAGAAGAAGAAGAAGATGCTTGAGGTTCAGGGAAAGACCATTCCACTTTAGGTGGCTTCTAAAACTGTTCCTGGCCCCCGCCGCTTCCTGATCTGGTTCTACCACTGTTGAGCAAAAATACTCGACAATCCACCCTCTACCCTTTTTCACTTTTTCTTGCTCCATATAAGAAAATGTCCACTTTCAGGAATGTTACTTTTCCAGATTCCCCCAAGCTAAATTTTCCTGCTACTGCAGAAGTGGGAGAAGAACAAGCAGATAGCTCTGCAGATTAGCTAGATCCTGAGTAACAAACCTGAGGGCAGTCCTCACTCTGGGTCCTGGGAGCACCACCTTGGTATAGCTCGCTTTCCTGAGGCATTAGGCAGGGAAAGAAAACCCCCTCACCTCAGTGGTGTAATGTAGGTCTCCCAGGAGGTTTCCAGCTAATCCAGTGCTGTAGCGAGCCTCGATCTCCCCCTGTAGCTCCATCAGCACCCATTCTGCCAGGCCTTCAGCCCCCGCACTGCAAGCAAAGGGCTGGCGGTTACAATATTTTTGAGGGGTGAAGGATGAGTAGTGTCCTACACCACCATTTAAGGCCCAAAGGAACTGGGTTGAGCACAAATTCTTGGGAAATTGGGCAGTGCTAAGCACTGAACTAGAGATCTTAATGCAAAGATTTATGCAAGATGTACCTAAAGACCCTGATTCTTCCAGAAAATGTGAAACTTGTGTATAATCATTCAAGCTAAATAAAAATCTCAAAATGTACTCACCTGGAAATAACAATTTGCACCATGAGCTTTCCTTCTTTAAAAAGCAACTGAAAATAAACTGTAGAAGAAAAAAAGAAAAAGATCAGGATAGCAATGATGACAGTTAATAACAAAATGACAGCTAAATACCATTTATTGCGTGACAGGGACTTTTATAAGTGCTTTAGACACACATTACTTTGTTCCCCTAAAAACATCATAAGGTCTAAGCTTTCTTACTGATTGTGTACATTAGATAAGTTTGCTAAAGATCACCAACAGCTTGGCGGGGATGTAGCTCAGTGGTGGCATGCTTGCCTACTGCATTACAGGCCCTGGGTTTTTGACATCCAGCTTGCAGGTGCATATACACACAATCACCAGCAGTCAACTACAATATGGAAAATAGGTATTGTAACTACTCAAAATCAAAGACAGAATATGAACCCAGGACACAGTGCAGAGACCACGCCTCCCCCCGCCCCCAGCACTGGGGATTAAACATAGAGTTTTGTGCATACTAAATGCTCAACTGAGCTATTCCACCAATCCTTCTGGCTGGTTTTAAGATCATCCTGCCTCAGTCTTCTGAGCAGTTAGGATTAAAGATATGCACCGCCATGGCTCAGGATCACTCTTGACCACAAATATTAACTTGCCTTTCTTAAGGTATTCTATTTTCTTCCCTGCATGTTTCTTTTAAAAAAGTAAGGAACTGTTAAGATTTTATTTTTTCCTTTGGTAATGACAAACTTCATGTCTATCACCAGGTATATTCCCACGTTCAGAGGACTTCTCTTTAAACTCAAAATAAGGCAAACAGAACTGGAAAAAGTCTAACAGCTCTAGGGAATGGTTAGGCTAACTGTTGATACTGACTTTCAACATATGTTTTGACCATCATTTTTTTTTGTTTTTTTAAGACAAGGTCTCACTATGTAGTTCAGGCTGGCCTCAAACTCATGGTGATCCTCCTGCCTCCGCCTCCTGAGTGCTACAATTACACATGTGTCCCATCACAGCCAGCTACCTTTCATTTAGATATGAGAATATCCCAACACTTGAAGAATTAATTTCATTTTATACAACAGCACCACCTAGTGGTAAGTATCGGGTACTCTACAAGAACAGCAGAAATGGGACGTTTTTCCTAGGGGACAACTGACTTTATTTGTATTTGTCTTTCTTAGGACAAAATTCAAAGTGGGTTTAGGTGATGGTAGACCAAAATTACAGCTTCTGGCTAAGCCTTTCAAATATATATTTGGAGTTTAAGGGAAAGTTATTAGTTCTGTGTTTACCAACTGTAGTGTAGAAAGTTAATAGGTATAATTGTGCTCAAGCTTGGCAAATACCTGATTAAAATGGTAAACAAGTTTCTTTACTGATGTTAATCTTCATTTTGGATCTCCAGAGAAAGGTACTATAGTGTCTATAGCCTTATAGGACAGCTACTCAATAGCACTAAACACACTGAGAACATGAAGTTGGTCAACTCACTTGGACTTCAACTAGAAGTAGCAGCTAAGGTTTTGAATTTGTACTATGGACTGGATCCTGTGTATATATGGTGATACCTCAATTAACATGAAAAATCTATGACATACGGGTATTTACGTGGCAGATGAGACTACTGAGGCATACAGACATTAAGTTACTTGCTTGTAAGTGGTTCTCATACAATGAGTGTGGCAGAGTCAAGATACAAACCTAGGCTACCCTACCACCTACACACTCCTATTACTACCCAAATTTGCCTTCCCAAAGGAAAGAAAAAAACCAAGTGCTAGTGTAAATGAACAGCAATCAAGGCATGAGGCAGACTCTGAGCACTTGCAAATTCCAGGCAGAATGGCAAAAGGGCACAGGTAACACCCTTTAGTAAGCCATACCTACTGGAACAGTACAGGCTGTGGCCCTGAGACAGTAACACCAGCTCCAAGGACCAAGGTCTTCATACGAAGAGGCCCTACTAGTACGACCAACAGAATCTAAAGTACTTTCAAAATCCTTTTCCTCTTGGGTTTTTTGAAGCTTTCATCTTCAAGATAACAACTCTAAGGGGCTGGGGATTTAGCTCAGCGGCAAAAGCGCCTGCCTGGCAAGCGCAAGGTTGTGAGTTTGGTTCCCAGTACCGGAGAAAAACCACAAAACAAACAAACAAACAAAAAAAAACTCTAAATTAGAAAGTCTAAGTTCAGGCTTGGACTTTAAGTATAGACACTACTGTGTGATCACACACAAGTGACTTATCTACCAGAACAATACCCAGATTATGACTCACTCAACTATTGTGATGATGAAAACAAAACACATGCCAAGTTGCTTTAAAGACCCTAAATGGTATTAGGAAGTGCTAATTTTCTAGAGGGCGAGAAAAGCAAATGACCATTTGATAACTTTGCCTATAATTTAGAAAATGCTAAATATATCATAAATCAAAAGACTCAACAAAACAGATTTAGAAAGGGCTCCTGTAAGTAACTTTTTGATGACGTAACACAGTACATGCTATGGCAAAATAAGGCAGTTTAAGAAAAGCAACAATGTATTCACATGGGTGAACATCTTCAGGAAAGCTCAGAGTAGACCACAACCCAAATCAATCTTACGTTCTTTGGCCACAGGTTTGAGATGGGTATGTGTGAACTGTTTAGGAAACGTGAATACAGAAATACATTCTGGGCATTCCACTTCCTGGGCATTGTGTTAGAACAGAAATTCACAATGATAACCTAAAGGGACAAAGGAAAGCTGACATTTGGTTGCCTGGACAGATTGGCACTTGTATTCCAATCCCTGGGGCTTCAAATCCGGAGACCAGATTTTGCTATGTTGCCTAGGCTGGGCTAAAGTGTTCCTCCTGCCTCAGCTCCGCAAGTAGCTGGAATATGAGAATATACCACAGTGTCCAGCTCTGAGCACATCTAGTGGTACTGGCAAGCATCCAGCAATACGTTGAACATAAGAATTCTATGGCCCACAGTCTTGCTAGTCTTGTACCTCACCATTCTACTGCTGTACCCTAACAAGATGGTAAAAATTGTTTCTTGCTAGATCTACTAGGATGCCTCAGATGTATACATAAATGATGTGCAAGCCTAGCCAGTATGAGTTTAGTTTAGAGGAACCTGTGAACTGATCTGCCAACATTTATGACTTACTTACATATGATAGTGTATTTACTGAACTATTAAAAAACACCGGGCTGGGTGAGGTGGTACACACCTATAATCCCAGCACTCCAAAGGCTGAGGCTGGAGGATTGCCTCCAGTTCAAGGCCAAGGCCAGCCTGTACTAAAAGCAAGACTCTGTCTCAAAAATAAACCAAAAAACCAGAAAAGAAACATGAGGCACAACATCTCTAATTAGTGAATTTAAACTTTATCATACATCTGAATTATATTACTCCTGGTTCTTTGAGATTTTTAGGAAACTATCCTCTTGGCCAGAATAGGTATCTCTGGTTACTGAACTAAGGACACACCTGATGGAGGTGACAGGGACTAAAAATATGTATTTCATTTAGTGTGCAACTGATTAAAAAGGACCTAAGTATATGAAGCTCAAGCTGTCTCCACCCACTTTAGAGCAGAAAAAAATTAGAAAAACAGGTAGAGAATAAGTATAGTTCAAGTTGCACATCCTTAATCTGAAAAATCTGAAACTTTTTGAGTATCATGTCAGTCAAAAAGTTTCAAATGTCAGAGAGTTTCAGGTTTTCAGATTACAGATCATACAGCAACAAAGAAATCAAGATTTAAAGAATCAATCTAGACCAACAATGGGAACCCTAACCAAAACTCAAGCTTTGGCTAGAATCAGACCAATCGGAGCTATGCCTTGTCTTTTGGTTTCTACCTTTATTCTGAACTATTAAATTTTTCTGGAGACAGTCCTGCTATTTAGTTCAGGCTGGCCTTCAATTTATTATTTATTATGTAGCCCTTGGTGGCCTTCAACAGTGATCCTCCTGCCTCAGCCTCCCACATGCTGGGATTACAGGTGCACACTGGCTTGAACTATTAAATTCTTGTAAAAAACCTGACAAATCAAAGCACCACCATGTGACTTCTTAAACTATCTATGCCCAGCACATCATCAGAAAAAAGCTCCATTTCTTACAGAACTTATTTTTTGCTGAACACTTAACTTCTCTCACTTTATCCTGAACCACTCTACGAGATGTGTTCCCACTTCCTTTTAGAGATGAGGAAACAGGCTGAGAAGCTAAACGTTAAGCAATTGATCACACAGCCAGTATGTGGTGGAGCTAGGATTTGGAACCTAACTGCGCTACACTCTGGTCTCCTATAATCCTCCCTGCACTCAGCCCCCTGCTATATAGCACCTTCTGTAAGGCCGGATGCTTTACAAATGTTATGATCATTCTTACATCATCTCTTACAAATAGCAAGTAACCTTGTAACTTGTCACCCAAGTAGCTAATACACCTAGAGGTAAGCAATTAAACAATAAACTTTCCACCTTATGCATATTTAGGGTTTTTTTTTTTTTAAAAAAACCTACATATCAACTCAATGCCACCTTTCTGATTCAAAACTTTATCCTAAATCTCTGCTCCTTAGTATTGTTAAAACAAAGCCAAAAGGATAGTGGATGTTTTTTGTCATGGGTTCACTCTAACCTCTGACAAAAAAGTCTTTTATCCTCTGCTCTCTGAAGTAAACGTTAAAAGATTACACTTAAGGGAACAGCCTGAGCAATAATCCTCATAAGGGTAATTGTTCCCAAAATAAAATATGGCAGAAGGGCAATATATATCTAATTAAACATACAGCCATTAATAAAAAACCAAAGGGCTTTGATTCAATGATTTAATCTAACTACAAATAACTAAGTTTAAAAAAAAAGAACAACAACAAAAAACCAAATAACTAAGTTTTTCTAGAGCTGAACGGTACAGGAAGACTTTGAACTCACTAGGTAGCCCAAACTGGCCTTAAACTTGTGGCAATCTTAAGTGCTGAGATTACAGGTGTGCACCAACACACCTGTTCTCAGTGCTTTATGTACCTCCATTAGAACATTTCCAAGCATTCTGTGTTTTCTTTTGG